TAATGAGACAGTAATCCGGTCTTCCTTAAAACCCTTGTGACCTCGTTTAACGTGACAGGTCACACTGTCAGCCAAGTAGAGTACACTAGTACGCTGATGTTGAACAAGAGGTGACATATTTGCTCTTATCGCTCACAACAACCCTGTAACAGCACTTTTTCTTGTAGTGTTTCGTGGGAGCAGAGAGGCTTTGAGGCTGAGCTTTTACTTCATTTCAATTAATTGTTTAATCATCTGTCCATCTGTCCCTACATACATTCATTCATTCATTCTTTCATTCATCCATTCTTGCATTCATTCATATGCTATAATGCAACAGAATGAAATGTATAAAACTAGTTTATTTGTATGGCACCTGTCAACAGCAAGATAATACAAAGTGCTGTTTCCATTTTTCTTGTCAGTGATTGTAACAAAAACATCTTTGTAAGGTCAGAGAGAGACAAAACAAGTTTATCTAGTTATCTTACACAGAAAAAAAAACCAACCCTATTTGTGACAAAAAAATAGATAGAATAATATAATTTCTTGGTGTGACTGATGGTGGCATTAATGATTGTAGGTCTACTGAGTTCTCTAGAGCTTTGCTTTTAGACAATGCTACAGTTGGGGAGATAGAGACCAGTTGGTCAGAGTCTTATTCTGGAAAGTAATGTACAATATCCATTGACTAACATTAAGATTGATAGTGTGTATATTTCAACAAGGGTTTTATTCTAATAATTGTGTCCATTCTGACTATTAAGCTAAATTTTCTCTTGCCACCTCTATTGTGGAGATTTAAGAAACAAACAGCCCAACAAAAAAATAACATATCGGGGAATGCAGGGAACCTTTGATGAATACGCTTTAGCCAGTCATGTCAGATTGTGTCAGTTTTCCCCGACTGCAGGACATGTTTTTACAAGCTGTAAAACTGCAATTGCTTCTTTTTTTAATCTTAGAGACACACCGGTTTATATGTCTAGACCTCAAAACCAAAATAAGTCTTACAACAGAGTGTGTTTATTGACCCACACCTCCATTATTTGAAAGATATTTCAGGTTTAATGTGCCATGTGAAAGGTCCAAAACAAGAGCCTTTGATAGAAAGATCATGTTTTTCGCCTCCTTGTATTGTTTTTATAAACACTATTACACCTGGTTACCTCCATACAGTATTTTGGGTGAATCATTTATTTGGTCAAATGAACAATGTTTTCAATTGCTTTTTGTCAAGTGATATTGATCTGTACATTTTCAGCATTAGTAAAATGTATATTTCACCTCTCATCACATCACTGGTGGGTGTGGCCATAAGTGTGCTCTGTTTCACTTAAACCACACCCAACAGTGATGTCATTGTGTACTGACACACCCTGAAGTACACTTCTACATCACAACAGCAAGGTTAGAAGTTAAACTACTGGAGGTCAGCAAAAACAAGATCTTTATGAGATGATACACTTTACATTTTACAGTTTTAGTGTATATTATGTCAAAGTAGTGAAATATGCTTAGGATGGAAATTAGGTAAGTTTTAGATTGTTCTGCATGTTATTCCAGGTACTGTACATGCAAAACAATGCACTATTATAACCTTAATAAGGCTTTGTGAATACAAAGATTCAGCACATATGAAGAAGAAGGAGGTATACAGAGAGAGTGGTGAGTAAGAGAGACCTTACATAACTACTCAACTACTGACATGGAGCGTCACATATGGGACACTGTAGGGATAAACATGCAGCTCTCAGGAAGATGCCCCGGTGCAAACCAAAGCTCAGTCTGATAACACAGACACACAGACACATTGGGACGCACTGGGATAAGTCATCACAACTAACTAACCAAAAACATGCTGAATATATCTAGTGCAGTCTACTGTACCAGTTAGTAGCTCAGTCTGTCCAAGGTGGTTTCATAAGATGTGTGTTTCTCGCTTCCCTTTTGGGATTCACTGAGAAAATGCAAGCGCTGGTCAACGCTTGCATTAAATTCAACCCCCCCTCAGGTCACTGTCACGTCGCCTGCCTCCATCCCAACCAAGTGCACTCTGTAACACCAACCTTGCTGATAACGAAAAAATGACAAAAAGAGAGAACAGCTCTCTGCTGCCCTGCTGATGAGACTGACAAGGCCAGCAATGTCACCAAAAGTTTGTTTCATCAGGAAAACTTTTCTGTTTGCCACTGCATTTTATTAAATTAAACTTTGGACTGTTTATTCATGACTTGAACTGCACTTTAGCTGCAGTGTAGTAACTACCTTTTAATGTCTTTTATTCTGTTTTAGCTTATTATTATTATCATTTTATTTTGGTTTTACTCTTTAAAATCTCTTTTAAAATCTCTTTCTTTTATATCTTTTCTTAATGTAAAAAGCTTTGAATGTCTTGTTGCTGAAAGGTGCTATACAGATAAACCTGCCTTGCCCTCATGGAGTAAGAAGTACTCTCCATGTTTCTTTGCATGAAGCCTGGACAACAAATTGTTCAGAACCTACTGTGTACCATATTCTGTCACATGGGCAGGAGATATGTTGCTGTTTAAACTGGACAAGAAGAATTATTGTAGAAAACAGATATCCGGTGTTTACTTCGTCGCAAACAAACAGCTGATGTATTCCCCTAGGAAACAGGAGGATTGACTTAATTAAATGTACTATTATAGATTAACTGCAGTATATCTCATGTCGCCACCCATTCACAGATGTGTTCGTTTTTCCAGTGGCTCCCTGACAGGGCTCTTTACTGTTAAGCCCAACTGTGTTTAGCTTGTTTTTGCTCGGCTCGCTTCACTCCATCGACTCACAACACTTTTGCTGGCTGCCACTCTCACCCATTATGCAGATCCCCTGTCACGCCAAGATTTAGGGGTACCCCATCTGACACTCGCCGACACCCTTGCACAGACACACAGCGAGCTGTCTTTGTTTATGTTTCCCCTCATTAACTAATTAGTCATCCACTCAGTCATTGTGGCTGCACTCACGTCTTGGCTGTCAATCTGTAATTGCTGGAATATGTTGAGACAACATCTAATTTGGAAAGGGGTCACTGGGGAGATGCAGGCTGAGACCTTTTCAGTTCTGGCTGAGATGAGACACTGACGGATGAGGGAGTCTGGAAGTTTTGTAAATGTTGTGCTGGTGGCAACCTTGACGTGAGACTTAAAGCCACTGTGTTTGGAATTTTTATGTGATTATGGTATCTTTCAAATTATTCCTATATCAGGAAAATGACACAATCCTCAAGTATTTATTAATGTTCAGTATTTTTCAACAATTATATAATATTATCTGTTCAGGTACCAGCCCCTCCTTATTGCAGCCCACAGGATAAGTTATTGTTTTTATAAATAAACATTATATCTGCTTACAACTATGTTATAAACCATTTATTAAATGTTTGTATACTGAATATTAAACATCGGGACTTAAAGGATTAGTATAAGTGATACCACTAAAACATTTAAATGGTAGAGTTGCATGTGAAGGATGTGCCTGTTTGGCCAGTTCAACAATCTAAACCTCTATAATGCTGGATTGTGAATGACCATGTTTAAGGCATATTTGACATGTATGAGAAAAAGATGGGGGAGGGGTCTTTTCCCATAAGGAGGGGAAAAGGTGACAAGTGGTCATGTTTTTACATCATGTTCTGTGGTTTTGCAGCACTCGCTGTAACAACTGGGGCTGTCATTCTTCATCAGAGGACAGTCTCTTATGACCGTATTCGACTACTGGTGGTAAATTTATTTTACAAAAACAGTAAAAAAAATAAAAATAAAATGCATTAAATACAGTTAATTATTGTTAACTTTGTGCCTGTGCTTGTAATTAAGGAAACAAAGAAAGATACATTTTAATGTTTACTTAAATGGCATCAAAGTTACAGTAGCTAAAATATCAATTGCACTTCCGTGTTTAACTGTTTTGATAAATGTCCTTCAGTGACATATGAAATACTTAGCAATATTACTTAGCTCTAGAGTGTTTCACTTTCTGAGCTGTTTGTTGTTTTGTATTTTTTATCATTTTCTTTCAGTTTGTCTGGTTCATATGCGATTTGGTGGTATGGTGTGTTGCAGTGTGATTTTGTTTTCTATGGCAGAAGAATAGCCTCTATTTCAATTAAGCTAATGTGGACCCAAAATTAAATCAAATAAGAGGAGTTTAGGGACATGGAATCATTTTATTTGGGTTAATTTGGTCAGTACCAACATGATGCAGGATTGTGTGTCAGGAGGTTGATGATGTTGACATGATTCTACAGTATCATAAAATAAAAATTAGCAAACCTGGCTTATGTGAGACAGACTCTCCTGATCAGTCAAAGCCTTTTTGCATCAAATTTTCCTCTGACAGAAGTATTCGCAGAAGAGGAACGAAGCCAGCGACTTTGTGACCGACTGATTTTCTTTTTGCCTCAGGGACTGCGCTGTAATATTCATTCCTGTTAAAGATGAATGCCTCGTTGTTCAGCGTAAACCTCTTGATGAGGCCTAATGAATACAGGAGAGACAAAACGAAAACACAGTCAACACAATTAAAGTTCAATGAGTTAATAAAGTGCTCATTATGTTCAGCACATCACGACTTAATCAGGGTTTCTTGAGGGATTTGGTGCAGCATGAATAATGTTGGAAATAACAATAATAGCACTGATTAGATTTCAGGCATTAATGGGCCTATGTGTGATATTTTGAGTATGTCTTATTAAAGCACCGGGTTGATTGAGTCTTTGTTAAAGACAGTACAAAATTAATTTGTCAGTTTCTGCCACCATTGCGTCTGTGTCTCTCTTTATATGTACCATGACATTCTTCCATTTCTCACCTGTTACTCTTCTTGCCTTCTCTGTTACCCCCCATCAATTATTATTTAATATTTCCCCCTCCTCTCCAAACATACACCCCAAACGACTTCTATCCTTTACCCTCTTCTCTTTCTTCCTTCCCTTTTGTGCCATTGATGCTTCTCCTCTCACGTTTTCATTGTGCATCCTCTTCTTGCTGCAGGTTGTTATGGTGGTGTGTACCAGAGGAAGCTGTATCGTGACCTGATGGTAAACTACAGTCGGCTGGAAAGACCCGTCCAAAACGACTCTGCACCCATCGTGGTGGAACTCGGCCTCACACTGCTACAAATCATTGACGTGGTGAGTGTGTGCGCCTGTGTATGTTTTTTGTGTAAGCATGTGTAGAGTATGTTCGAAGAAAGAGAGGATGTATGTGGAATTTGTTTTGGAAATCAACTCAGAGTGAGTAGGAGAAAGTTGAACACCCTTGGTCAAACCTTTTGCATTTTGGATGTTTTTCTGGAGTTTTTTTCTTTATATTATTCCATCTGATAACTCGCTGTGGTGCATGCTAATGCGCATACTTTGCAGTTACTGCTGTTCATCTTCCTCTGAACTTGAAACTGTTATTCCACCAGTGGCAGCACCCAACCAAGTGAGAATATTTGCCTTTGAAAGAGCAAGTACTTTGTTTCTGCCCTCGAACCTTTTTCATTTGGTGGCACTACATGCCCTCAGTTCTTTCTCTCATTCGACAAGAAAATTCAATTTCAGTGTTGAGATATGCCCGTTCATTTCCCTCTTTGACCTTTTTTTTCCATTTTGATCACAACTATTTTCATATTTCTCCTTTAAAGGAATGGTTTAACATTTTGGGAAAAACCCTGATTTACTTTCCTGCTGAGAGTAGATGAGAAACTCCACTTTCATATCTGTCCGTTAAATATGAAGCTACAGCTAGGAGATGGTTAGCTTAGCTTAACACAATGACTGAAGAGTAAAAACATCAAGTTGAGGAGTCTCAGCTGGTTCACTATAACCATTACTGTGAAGTCAGACAGAACACCAAGCAAATTGTAAAGTGCAGAGGTAGCACGATTGCATAAATATCCAATGAAAAGATGCGATTAGATGCAAATTCGCCCTGGGCCGCCATGCGAGTTGAACATTTTTCAGCTCGAGTGAAAATTCATTATCGCAGGCTTTATCAATCTTTTTCATAAACCTACGGGGGCAAGAAGGAAAAGGAGAGAGACTGGAGGGAAAGAACCAGAGTCTGTAGCGAGTTCTGAGTTCAGTTAGAGGCTGAGCTGCCACACAGATTTACTCTGACACTGTACATTGTTAGCTAGCTGTAATGATAGGTATAGAGAGCTAGCTGTAAGCTAGCTAACAATGTCTTTCCAGTTGGTACACTGGCTGTTTCGGGTGAATAAACACAGACTACACAAGTTCAGCAGTCAAATGTGTGCAAATGTGAAAATTTGCTTCACTGTCTGAAAACTTGGACTTCATTGTCGACGACGTCGCACACAGCCAAGATATAATCCCAGCACAATTACACCATGGCATTTTCACACTTTTCTTTGGTACGGATTTAAATGAGATACGACATGTTAATTAATGAGCTTTAGAAGTGCTGGCAGGAGCTCTTTTTTCTTTGTTTACCTTTGAACAGAAGCTAAGCTAACTGGATGCTAACTGTAACCTTATATTTATCGGACATGAAAGTGGTATCAATGTTGTCCTGTCAGCAAGAAAGCCAAAAAGCGTATTTCCCAAAATGCCAAAATATTACTTTACACTTTCTGTAAACCCAATACCTATGTTTCGTCTTCATTTTCATGTATAACATTGTTTCTTAAGAGAAAATCTTTCTTCAAAACATCAGTTGTTATGTGTACATCCTGCATTTTACACCCACAAACGCACACACAAAAACATACCCAGAAACACACAGAAACCTCATTTAGCTCAATGTGGCCACAATCCTCCCTTTCACTCTTTTTCATGTCAAAGCCCACAGCTCTTAAATCGACTGTGTTTTGGGCAGATTTCTGTCACATCTCATTTTATGTTTTGTTCCTTGTGCTTTATTGTGTGGTTCCTCCCATTCCCCAATTCACGCACACCTATCCTCTCTCAAACCAGCACATAACCTCCTGCCTGTTAGCCCCCACCACACAGCCGAAGCGCTCATCCAAAAAACCCAAGCCGACACTCCGTCACATCCCTGAGCCAGCCCTGTCACGTCTTGTCTTCTCATGATAACTACATGGTGGTAAGAGCCGTACGCTGGGCTGTAATATAGGATTCCCATTCTATTATTAATATGGGCAAGTCTCATATGAAACAACAATATATTCTTAGAGTTTGCAAACGTCAGAGACACAGTTCTCCACGGAGAACATATGGCACTTTTCATACACGACGTGATGAGACAAGTTCTCTTCATACACTCTTTTTATGAAGTATGTTTTAATTTAAGATGTTATTGATTTGGTGTTAATTGAAAAGTTACAAATAATGTGCTGTTCTTATATTATGTGCTGTTGTAGTCAGTATCAGTTGTTGTATATGTTTTATATATGTGTGTGTTTGCTATAAATATATAGTACATTGTTAACTGACTTGATACATAATGGATAAGCTGGCAAAGCCAAGTGAATTAATGCTTACTGGGCAGTTGTTAATAATGTAAAGCCGTTTGTGCGTGTGTGTGTGTGTGTTTGTGAAATGAGACCTTTGATCCCTCCATCTGTTCCTTGGTAACTCTCTAACCCGGGAACTGGGGCAGGTTGATGCCCACAGACTGGGTTCACCGGCATGAATAATGACAGATACACAGACAGGCTGACAGATGAGCACAGGACCGGTTCCCATCCAGTACAGGAAGGGCTACCATGTGCCTTATGTAGCTGACAAACAAACCCAGGTTCAGTGGTGGAATGTAACTAAATACATTTCAGTAATCAAATACTGTACTTAAGTTACTTACTTACAAATTTGAAGTATGTGCACTTTCCTCTAGTAGTTCTGTTTAATACTACTTCATATATCTAATTCATATATATATAATATATCAAATATAATATTGCACTTTTTACTTTATTTATTTGACTTCTTTTATTACTAGCTATGTTACAATTTGAGATTTTACATACAGAACATAAGATGAGCTTAAAAACTATGACAAACAGCAAGAAGGCCAGCACGGCACTTTGGAGCAATGTTACGAGTGTGTGCGTGTTTTGTTTGTATTGTGCAAGCGTGACTCATGTCCTGTACTTGGTTTCACGCTGTTCCACTGATTAACAGTTAGTAGCAACAATGTGCTCGCAAACATAACAAAGGCAGACCTTTTCGGCCCTCAAACATATAGTTGAATAAAACCATTTGAGACGTTTAGAGGGGAAAGATCTGCTAACAAGTGACCCCAAACAGCTTTTTTGTGAGGGCTGACAAATATGTTAGGAACAACTGTTTCAGTGTTTAGTAATGTATTTCATTTTATTAGCTTATTGTCTTTTTTTTAATCTGAAAATAACTGCTGAGAAATAAATGTAGCAGAGTGAAAGTTATAATATTTTTTCTGGAGTAGAAATAGTATGAAATGGAAATACTCTTGTACAGTATCTCAAGGATAAACACAGTGCGATTTGGTGAGAAACACTGAATTTATAACTCCGATGAGTCTTCCTGATGAAGGTTCACACATTCAGAAACATTCCTCTTACTAAATGCTGCTTTGCACAAAATAGTTTGCAGTTTGCAGTGCTTGTGTTCACATTTCATTCTATCAACCCTCAGATAGAAAGTATATGTAGAGAGACAGTTCTCATTGTGCTCCTGCTAAACCATTCTGTTTCATTCTGTCTGCACACACTCTGTTGAGGTGCAGCAATTCAACCAAATCTATTGAACCATTCAAACACGAGGGCATCCTGTTCAGTTAAAGATCTATTTTAAAGGAAATTGGTTAAAATCTAAGGCGAGCCAAGTACAGAAAACAGTAGATTTTTTGAGATATTGTCATTGTTTGTTGATTTAGTATCTTTGAAACACTGATCCTCTGATCTGGATTGAAAGAAAACATGCAGGAAGTTATCCTATTGTTCCCTGCTGGGGATAAAACTGGACAAATTGCACAGATGAAAAACCATTTCTAAAACAATAGACAGGGAGATTTACAGTAAAGCACCAATTCATTTATATGGGATGACATGTTTTTGTCCTTGGCCATATGATGTGAGATGACTTGCAATAAAATACAGTTAAGGAGCTTTCGTTGAATGCAGGTGTCCATCACAACCTTGCCAGTCTGTCTAAAGCCAATCACAGTAGATTTATGAGGAGATTAAAGTGTTTATAGTGGGTGTGACAGGGCTGATACTGCCTATAGCAGCTGAGCAAAATCCCACAAAACACCACAAAAGAGAGGTCAGGCACAGAATAGAGCGAAAACACAGCAACCTCGAAGCCAAAGCCAAATCTCCACGATTGCAAGCTCGATCGCACACACATACCACCAAAAGAACAGAAAAATGTTGCTTTGTGAAGCACACAATGGGAGGCTGTTCTATTTCAGCAGTGGAGAAAGGAGGCTGTTTAAAAGAGGGACAGATCAGAAAGGACAGGTGGAGATAAGATTGCAGCGCAGAGGGAGTTAGGGAGGAGGCAGGGAGGAAAGAGAGGAGCGCCGATTGTGTGAGGATCGATTTTCACTACAAGGAGAAGTTAAGAGCAGCGAGTTTGCTTTGCTTGTAGTTAATAGCACCGAGTTTGAGCACCTTTTGTTGATCTTTCAGGAATTCTATGTACTACAGAGATTGTTGGAGTCATTAGTTATATAAAATATCTTTTTGCAAGTGTACTGAAAATATGTGCTTCATATACTCAGTTATGTGACTTAAAAAACAATAATAATACCCTTATTAGTGGTTGTACTACTTGTGGTGATCCCAAACTTGAGCGAATATATCCATGTTCATTTGCACCGCTGTCAATAAAGTCCTTTTTCAGGAGGATGGAGGGCATTCTGAAGGAGACAGATACACAATTTTACAGGTCATGAAAACCCCAGACCTTTTAAAAGTCGATGAATTGATGCCCTGAGCTGATTTGAGTGGCTCAAGAGAGGCTTATGAACTATAATCTAATTTATTGAAATTACATCACCTAAGAATACTGTACAATGTGATAACTTAATCCACACTTTTTCTTTTCAAAGACCTTTAAAAGCACCATACTGCTGGTTTTGCCAGTTTCATCCCATTAACTACAAATTGTGCCTACTTTACATTACCGTCAAGCATTTTCAAAAGCACTGATATGGCCCCTTGCTACTGAGTAAAGGACTATGAGAGCAGTAATTCAGTTAAGGTTAAATCTAAGCACACTCCTCTGTGACTATGTCTCAACATATGAACAAGTTTCATTTTTCAGGTTCCACCACTGAAATTGTTCCTGAGAGAGAAAAAAAAAGGCAAGATGAATGAAGCGAAAACAGTATGAAACTGCGATAAGAAAGAAAACTATACAGTAGATTAGGTCTGGTGGGGTGAGAAATAGAAGAAATAAAGTGAGCAAATTGATTTCATGATTTGATTTTACCACAGTAACATTAAAGGAAAAGTTTTCAAAGGGTTGAACCGGTGGTGGTAGAAGATAACGTGATAAATCACTTAAGTGAAAGTAAAAAAGGACAAATCCATGAAAAAACAGAATAGAAGATGTGCTGTGACAAGTGCTACTACTGTCAAGCAGTTTGCACTTTTTGTCAGGGGTAAGAGGGAGGTAATACGTCAGACACACAGCATACCAGTGTGTAACAAGCAGCAAAACTTGTCGCTGTCATGTAGGATTCTGCAAAACAGACTCTAAATACATCCTCAGGTGTTGTTGTTTTTTTTTTCTTTTTGCTCTTCTTCCTTGTGCCTCTATTTCTGACCTCTTTCTATCTTTTTTCCCCTTCTCGCTGTCTCATGAATTATTTCAGTCTCTGTTCTGCTTCTCTCTCTGTCAATCCAGATTCATCTCACTCTCCCCAATTTTTTTTCTCTTTCTGACCATTTGACCATGAACTGACCCTTGTAAAATATCATAAATGCAGCAGGAGCCATTGAGTCTGTGTGTTTCTGTTTTCATGACGTTGCTAGAAACAGCTGTAGATGCTCTTTGTTGAATCCTTTCTCCTTAGTGTCACTGTTCATCTCCAGTGCAAATTGCTGCTTGTCCTATTTGAATCTTTCTTTTTATTTCCTAATTATTTATGATTTCATTGTTGTTTAAAATGGCAGAACATGACTTCTGTTGCATTACAAGAATCTAGTAAAAAGGAAAATCAAAGTCATCTGGGTTGCAGTTAAACTTAATTGCCAATCTGTCTGATAATCTCACCTTGTGTTTACCAGACGTGCAGTGTTTATTTTTTTCTTTCTTCTCACACTGCAGAATAATTGTGTAATGTCTGTGTATAAAGCCATGTCTACTCACTGCTGATTATTCTTTCTCTCCCCTCCTGTTTCCCTCCAGGATGAAAAGAACCAAGTGTTGATCACAAATGCCTGGCTGCAGCTGGTATGTGTCCTCTCCGAGCACTTCTTGTGTGATCACTGAGTGAAAATTGTCATTTAATATATTTTCGGAATGTGTGTGAGTGTGTTGTTTGTTTCCTGTGGGCTCTGCCATTCATATTTTTAAAAAGTGCTCACATCTGCGGTTTTGAAGGCACAGAGCCAGGTATGATTTAAGTTGCAACTAACAGAAACAGTTGCTTTGACCTCCCAGAAAAGTTAATACATTTCAGTGACTCTCCAGGGCCTCATGTGGCACTATAAAATATAAGACTGAAGTTTAATGCGTCAAAAGGCTTCAATGTTTTCTTTGCCTACAAAAGGCAGTAACATTGTGTCAAAAATTATATTTTGTGGGTTATTATTCTTTTAAGATATTTAATAATAGCATGTTCTATCGCAGCATTAGGCTATGTCACAGGAAGGTGAGGATAAAAATATCTTATTAAGCCAGCAAATCATGTTTTTAAAGATATTTTCTCCAGACATTTAATATTAATACATTTTATTTATAGTGTGCTTTTCAAGGAACTCAAAGGCACTTCACATAAGTTGAAATACATGGGTTAAAAAGGTAATAGAAACAAGGCCCTAAAAAAATCTCAGCCAACACTGGGTTACTATCTTTTGTCTTTTTAAGCTTTATATTTCATATTTGCTTTACTGCAGAGTGAGGTGTTGAGATTGTTTTTAGTGTCAGTTGACCATTAGCTAAGCCCTGGCACCTTAGATACTGTTGTTACACCTGTAAGCTTTCCGTTCTATGATAATGGTGTAGAACTTCAACTTGAGTAATTTGCTGGTCAATGATTTCCATAGACAAAAGCAGGTTTCTCATTTCTGCCTTGATTTTGTCTGAAAATACAGATTATCAACAGTATCTAGCTAGCTAATTGAGCTAAAATTAGCTCCATGAGCGGACTCCGGCTGACTTTTTAATCTTTACAAGTGACTCTTTTTAAAACGAAAACTCTAAAGGCGTTTTATATATTGATGGCTACTTAAATAATAATAATGTGCTAAAAGAGGCTAAAAGTGGCTTAACCTCCATGTTCAAAGAATTCAGCATCCTTACCAGTTTGAAGACATGAAATTTATAAAATCCTGTTTGTGTATTGCAGTGTAGATCTAATTAGTACTATACATAAGGAAAAATTTAATATTATACTGTTATTTCATTTTAACATAAACCTGTCTGGCTGCTCAGCGTAGATACTCAAATTTTAAACAATATGTTTTCACATTTAACAAGGACTAACTGATGAGTTTGGCAAATTTAACGCTGTAATACTGGTGGAGCGTAAACTTCCCAAGCTAATGTAGTGAAGTTGTAGTGAATGTAGTTAATGATATGCTACTGTAACTCTTGGCCTTGGAAGTAACACTGAGGTTTTACTGTATGCATGCTAAGGATAACATCTTACGTTAGAACCAAGCAGCAACCTTAATGGCTAAATAGTAAAGCCAACGCTGTAGTGGCAAAAGCTGCAGTTCCTCAAATGGCCAATTGAGGCTGGCTCCAAAAGCGAGTCAATCTCCATAGGCCCCCATGTTAAAATGCACAGCTTCATAGCAGAAATAAACATGTTTTCAGCCTTGTACAAAAACCAGTGTTGGTCTCATGGCTCGTGTATCGGGGGTGAATCTGTATATATGTCACCCATTTAAATTATATAAGGCTTTGTGTTATGCATAAGGCTTCGCTTTGGTGGGTCCCGTCACAGGTGGCTGGTTTCAGCAATCAGCTGTCATTCAGCCTGCCTCAGCTCCACCCACACTCCACGTCTTTGCCTATTGTTGGATTAGCCGGGAGTTAGATGGAGTCAGGCACTGCCAAGATGGTGACGGCTGGAGCTGCCACACTGTGCTTCACAATGGCCTTTCAGAAATCTATGACGTCAAGGAGACCACGTCAATGTTTTATATAGGACTATGATTAGAACAGACAAACACAGCCACACACATCCATTCCTTATACTTTAGCTAAAAAATATCTTTTTAGTTTTGGAAAGGAACAATATAAACTTTTGATGCAGAGTATTGCTCTTACCACAGCCCTACCACGCACACCACTTTGGCATGTGGGGAAACCCCGACAGATGTGCCGTGCCTAGATACAGTTGCTAAACTGTGATCGGGAGAGGGTTTTAGTGAACAGTCAATTGTGAGATTCCTAACAGCATCTGTATTTCACTCTAAGCATGTGGAAACTAAGCTATTTAGTTCAGCTACAGCACATCTATCCCATTATGTAAAGTTGAAAGGTATGTAGAGTAAATGGTACAAGAAATATGCATTACAATGCTCAGGAAAACGTTACATCAAGCCAGTCAGGTAGGTACAACAGCCTCATTATCACAGCAGCCTCAGTCAGAACAGCCCATTAAGAATTTCACAGCCTGTGCTCAGTCAGGTTGAGTTGGCCGCTGCCTGGCTTACAAGTTATGAATGAATCAATTATTCAGGAAGCCACCTCTTTAATACTGGCATTCACTTTGGTGTAATGGCTTAAGGGGGCTTTGCAGATGCAGCAGATTTTGAAGGAGACTTGAGAAGTACATAAACTAGCTCACAGACAGTCAGACAGAGAAGGGGCAGGTTCACCTCTGCTACATCACGGAGGATTTTAGGATTACAGGTTTATCAGGCAATGAATGTCCCATATCCGAATGGATTGGACTGTGAGAATTGTAATGAGCTTTAGTTTTCTAAGAACTGGGTGTAACTTTAGTGTTCTCCTCTATAGCCAGCTCTTATGGCTGATGCAAGAGTGCCTTTAAAAGGTCAGTTCACCCAATTTACCTAAAGATTGTTTCACCTAGAATTTAAGATATTTGTCTCGGATATTTCCTCCATCTGAATATAATGTAAGTGAATGGAACTGTGTTTGTGGTGCTTACCGCTCTGAAAGATTAAAAAAAATGAATCAGTAATGTGTCTTTCCAGGAACTGTGTTGCTGTGAATTTTAATAATCCACAGATCATGCTGTCAACAGTTTTCTTTTTACTGGAACTATTTTTTACTAAAGAAATTGTCCCTATAACACCTGTTCACAGTGAGGTCCGTGGATTATCCAGAGTAACCAGGACACTATTTCTGGAAAGATATCTTACTGTTGAAATATACATTTATCCATTGCTGTGAGCACCACAAATTACTATTCACCTCCATTGTTTTTGGGTGAAGGCAAAAATATGACAGATGAAGTCCAAAATGGCTCGAATCCAGATGTGACCTAAATACAAGTGTTGTAAAAAAAAAAAAAAAAAAAAAAAAAAAAAAGGGAATTTACATATTATAATTGTTACAAAAATCTTTTGTAGTAGTAGGTCTATATATAAAGTTCTGGCTTTGCAGTGACAGCAGACTGGTGTGAGGAGGCTATATGAGCATGGGATGCACAGAAGGTCATTATAAATAACAAAAATCAATCAGTGTGAATTATTTATCAGCCCAACTTATTTAGCTATTACCTATACATACTGCATTTTTGCACTCCCCACCCTAAAACATCCTGAAACAGTCTTGCATTCAGAGAATGAATATCACACTCTCTTAATAAGAAACCTAGTTGTCTCAAATTAGTGACGCTTTCTTAAATTTCTGTTATGTAACTCTGAAACCTATTCTTAGGCAGCTGTTACCTCACGTAGCCTAGTGTCCTTCTCATCTGTTCCTGACAGACTACAAAGTTACTGAGCTGTAATTTGTTCTGTTGGCTGTTAGTTGTGCTTTCCCAGCCAACGAACATGAAAAGAAGGCTCTCTAGCACCAAACCGCCAAGGCCCACAGATGACAAGTGTAGTGATTAAGTCATTAGCTGCGTGAGTGGAGACACATGTCAGCAGGCCCACTTCAGATGGATGGCATCTCTTGGTGTTGGCGGAAAAGTTCAAATCAGACACTTTCTATTCAAGATTTTGAGTTGATTGTAAGGTGTAAATGTATTGACTTACATGGACAGAGACACATATGCAGGTTTGCATGAGCACGGAAACGTACATCAGTTCCAAGAGCACATTTATGCCAGCACAACATCCCACATGTCCATGTGCAAATATGTATACACACAGACATACACACGTACATAAAGGCACAGATGTGCCCGGTGTACTGTGGCCACATTAGTAACGGGACTGTGTTTGCTCCATAGAGAATGGGCCCTATGGCTACAACATCTGAGTGCCTCCATCTACAATATATCTGTCTTCTATACATATACTAGACACATACTCACTAGTAACAAACACAAAATGAATGTGCTTACATGCCAAAACACACTCATATGAATACCATTCCAGAGATCACACATCACCTTGCTACCTATTGTAAGTCATGAAAAGATGCACATAGGCGGCACACACTCCCTCTTGGTGCTTTTAAATGCTTTGATGCTGGGCTCTGTTAGCCCCTTGCTGAATATGGACCAGGCTCAAATGGGAGCGCAGAGGTCAGTGCCAACAACTGTCAGCTTGGCAAGGTTTAACTGCCAGCCGCCATTAACAGAGCTGGAGACAAAGCGTGAGAGCCAGCAATTGCTGGAATAATAGCCTGGGTTAAGGGACAATGTTTGACACCTCATGTATTAAGGTTGACCATAATTCTAAAGGAAGTTCTGATGCATTTTGGTTTGGTATAGTTGCTGTGTGCCAGGATATGTTTTATATTTGAGGAAAGATGCTATGACGCACAGGTGATGCGTGCAGTTTGCGTGGCATTGTACCAACACTGTTTAAGCTGTGAATGTTTATTTATTATTTTTAATATATTGGCTCGCCTGGCTGGGATACAAACCAAGAACAGATTACAGTATTAAAGAGCATTAAATGTGCCATTGATCTCATTTTAGTTCAACCTCTGATTTTTCTCTCTTCACCTGTTCTGTCATTTGCTCTCTTAACTTTTATTATCATGTGTTTTATTCTCGTTTTTATGCCCTTAACTCATCGTTTGCTTTTTATATTGACTCTTTTACCTTCTCTGTTGTTTGTTTCAGTATTGGACAGACATCTACCTTTCATGGAACCCAGACAGCTACCCTGGGGTTCAGAACCTGCGTTTTCCTTCCAATCTGGTATGGGTCCCAGATATCCTCCTCTACAACAGGTAGGGTATGCTCACAACCTTTTGCTCTGTTGACTCGCCTAGTCTTGTCTCGTTCCTCTCCTCTCCCAGCAACTTCTGTGCTTGTTAGTAATACAGAAAGCTTGCAAGCTAGTTCAGAGAATTATATAAAATAATTTAGTCCCATCACTTTTTGTATAATAATTTTTAATGTACTTATACTGTTCATGGTTAATCTTTATTCCACAGGCCCTTAGAATCCATCAACTCTGATTTATTAGCTCACCATACTTCATTTAAAATCATCTGCACAGTGTAGTTTTACGAATTAGAATGGTTATTTAATAAAGTACACTGATATTAAGGGAGGAATGATTAAAGGCAGCTAAAATGATGAAACCTCACTTTTGCCGGCAATTATATTAGTGGCTACTGGCCACTGGCATGATCGGCACAGTGGTTAATCTGTCAATGCTCTGGCTGTTTTTCTCTATGTTTTCTGTTCTCTTCTCTCTCTCATTTCTTCCTCTATTAATAACAATTAGTTTTCTAATACAGTATACTTCTAATACAGTAGACTTTACATTGTCTGGGCTGTGTTTACCTAATAACACAGTGGAAAGATGTATTCCCTAGATGAAATTTCACTCTTGGTTGCAGCCTCATTTAATGATATGATTGAACAGATTCCCTCTGGGAGGACATAAACCATAACTCCCAGGGGGCTTTGCATCTGTCGCGATGGGCAGTAGGAATTTGACTGCTGAAAACGTGCCTAGTGGCTGAAAATGACAACAGATACGCCGCTGTGAAATACTAATAGTGCGTCTAACTTGAGAAGAATAGACATAATTTAATCTTCTGTATTACATTTTCGTAATGTACCTTTATTTGTATGGAATATTTTAGTCATTTCTTTTTGTGTTATAATTTAATCCATTTATAGAGATGGTTCACTCATATTATATGCTACAGGTCTTATTAGAAATATTCATCTGGCTGATCTAATTTCTTTTCATACTTTTGTCCAAGAATGGGACTGGTGATTAGAAGGAGAAATAATATATCTCTAGAACAGCCCATTGGTTTCTTTGATTCATAGGTCAGTATAACTGAACTTCTTTTGTAGTCAACCTGTTCAGCCATTTTGGCTTTCTGCTTTTTGGATGGAGATGAGGCTCCTGTGCCTGCCCAGAGAAATTAGGTTGCTAGGTGCTTCTGAGATTGATATTCACAATGTGGTCTAGACCTGCTGGGTTTTTAGAACGTTCCTTTGAATCAATGCCAATGAGCGACTTGATCATTTTCCAGTGTTCCAGTGTTCCAGTGTTTCAGGCTTTTGTGTACATTTTAAGAATATATCTGACACCAATTGTATCCACAAACACGTGGCGCTTTTAGACATAAATTACGGACAGCTGCCTACATGGTAAACAAATAACATCCAGAACACTTATCCTATTGCTAAACAGCTGCGACCTATGAAAAAACAACCACTATGGCCAATGTGCCATGGGCCAATTATGGAACACTGTGTCCAAAAGGATAATCAGAGGGAAGGACTAGCAAAAAAGGAAATAAAAAAAAAAAATTTACCTTTCACAGAAATTCTGTGTTCCTGTATTGAAGATTTTTTGGCTCTGGAAGAGTTCATTATTTACTTTTGTGCCTGCAACACCAAGATAAATTTATATGTTAGATAAAATGCAGTAAGGGAAGAAAATATAATCTATCTATGATGTTATCTGGTTATTGCTATTGAAAATTCTATACAGTTTCACACAGTAAACACAGTTATGGAAGAAAATCCTTACTTGAACGAGGACTTCCCTCACTAAACATAAATTATGTTAATGTTCTAGGGAATACCACTTGAGAAAATAACAAATTCGAGTTTGCCTTGGGCTACTGTTTATGTGAGTAAAATAGTTTTTTTATCGTGATGCTACCTGTAAAAGACACTGAAGGGAAAAAGTTTGTGTGACTGACCATTATCAAACTGTCAAGCTCTAAGAAAGGGTATTTAACATGGGAGTGAGATGTTTTCAATACATCAAACCTTCTCAGGCCTCCGAACCACATGGTCTTTTTCCCTGACACCCACACACACACACTCTTAAAGTATCACACTTGTAATGGGGTAAAGACAACACGATACAAGGCAGAGTTGAAGTTGACTGATGATGGCTTTTCAGCTCTGCCTTCAAGGTGATTGAGGATTCTTTTATGGGGCTAGTGACAGATTTCCCGCTTGGCTCGAGTTGCATGTGTGTGAGTGTGTGTGTGTGTGTGTGTGTGTGTGTGTGTGTGCATGAGAGACGGAGAGGGAGAAGGGAGAGGTTTGGCTATCTAACAGGGATGATACAGAACATTAAGCAGCTTACGGTGGGGATCAGCGATCACTAACGATAACGACAATATAGTTCTGATACAGAAGCAGATTGAAGCTGACATTCCTTATGCATGCAGTATAAATCAGGAGGAAAATCATTCATTTCTATTTTTATGAAGCAAGAAAGCAACCAAGAAAAGAGATTAAAACTACGGGATAAAATAAACTTTTACTGATCCCCATCTGGAAATTAGGTCATTGCAGTAGTGAGACAAAGAAAAAATGTATAACAAATACAAAAATTGAATATAAGGAAAAAACTCAACTGTGAAGGAATCCTCAACCTATGAAGAGTAAAGCAGAATAAGACAATTGTGAGCTTTTAAATAAGGTATACAAATAGCTCTGAGCTTTGAGATTGGGCTTTTTGAAAGCTTTGATTTGAATGAAGCTAAAATTTAGTACACCATTTGGGAATCTTCTACATCTATCCTGTGCTTTCAACTATATACAAGAAACACACATGGTCAGAGTATTTTGATTATACCACAATGAATACCAGAAATACCCTCTAAGAATCGACTGAGGCCATACGATCTTGTGTGATTCAAGCATACCCCAGCCTTAAGAGGAACCTTTGGCTCAAGCTACCTTGCCTGGGGCCGCCTCCCGCCTGGGAGGGAAGCTTGCAGGTATACCATGTAGAGTTTGGTGTGGAGGTCTGGTGCTCTGCTAATCATGCAGAAGGTGAAAGCGTGTTTACAAAAACTCACTCTGGGCACATGGAATGTCAGCTCTCTGGTGGTAAAGAAGCAGCAGGTGGTGCAGATGGCAAACAGGTACCAAAGGTCACAAGCCTATGGCTGAGTGTTGCTATGTTGGAGTTTTCTCTGAAAAAACAACAGGGTTGTAACTAGATGTTTTGGAGAGGAAGACTCTGACTGTTGTTTATGCCAATGCGCCAAACAGCAGTTCAAAGTACAGTATCTGATTTTGGAGTCTCTAGGTGGGGTTCAGAAGAGGACGCTGCCTGGGGATTTCATAACAGACATATCGTTTGATTGTAAGGTAGTTCATACAACAAACCCTCAGGCCAAAGATCAATTATTGGCTTGATTTCATTTGCAGAGAATATGCAAAGGTATGCATTTCCATACATCCACTATACAAGTTGCAGGATAGCCTGTTTCTTTAGTTCACAGCAGGATAGTCTCCAAGTTAGCCAAAACTGTTTGGACTGTAAAGCCTGACTGGTGGACGATTGAAAAGGTAGACAGCTATACGTTTTTGTATGTGTCCATGTCACAGCAACCATCCTAAACCCATTTCAGATGAATAATATATAAGAGCCATTTTTTCACATACATGATTTTGAATATTTCACCATCTGCTGACACTTGGGGAGCTGGGATGCAAAGGGACTGAGTTTTCTGCTTTCATTATGTTTTTCATGTAAATAATGTAAGCCATCTCACTGTTGGGCTACTTTTTTTTACATGAAGAGATGATTTTACTCATAAATCTAGACAACACAATGTTGTCTTTACTTATCATAGCAGCATATCTCGATGGAGATGCTTTCAATAATGTTTCCACATGCATTTCAAATGTGTATTTTGGTTTTTCAGTCAATGGCTCATATACACCAATCAGCCATAACATTATGAGCACTGACTGGTGAAGTGAATAACATTGATTATCTGGTTATCATGGCTCCTGTCAGTGGGTGGGATATATTAGGCAGCAAGTAAACATTTTGTTCTCAAAGTTGTTGTGTTAGAAGCAGGAAAAATGGGCAGCGTGAGGATTTGAGCGACTTTGACAGGGGCCACATTGTGATGGCTAGACGACTGGGTCAGAGCATCTCCAGAACTGCAGCTCTTGTGTGGTGTTCCCGGTCTGCAGTGGTCAGTACCTATCAAAAGTGGTTAAATGAAGGAAAAGCATGAACCAGAGACAGGGTCATGGGTGGCCAAGGCTCGTTGATACTCGCGGGGAGTGAAGGCTGGCCGTGTGGTCCGATCCAACAGATGAGCTACTGTAGCTCAAACTGCTGAAACAGTTAATGCTGGTTCTGATAGAAAGGTATCGGAACACACAGTGCATCACAGTTGGTTGGTCTGGGGCTGCAGAACATTATGACCACCAGGGTATAAGAAAAAGAAGGTTAAATTGTAAAATTCCCATTGCGGGTAAAAGGACTCCATTGGTATTCAATGCCTTTATGATGTCCTCATCTTTTCCACATGGCATGTGATATTTTTGGAACATGTTCTACTTACTTAGTGATCTGATTAAAATGTGATTAAGATTATGCATCAAGAAGTCTCCTGCGATGCTCATGTGCTACCTGTGCTATGTTTAGGCATGGTATGGTAAGTCTCCACATTTCTAGGTTCACAAGGTTCACAAAACAGTTCCAAACATTTACTAAATCTTAATTTAAAATAGTTAATTTTAAAATATGTCCTTTCATATTAACCACATTTTGATTGATGGTTTAAAAAATGAGAAACTGCAGGTCTGTTTTTGAATGCTAATGCCACCCAATTAATTTGTATGTTAGGTAGATATATTCCAAATACCATTACAAGGCTAAATGCTAATTTAGCTAATTTATTCTCGGCAATGGATAAGAGCGATTACGGCTGTTCCAAAGTATTCTCACAGCCTCTTAGTTTTTCCACTCTCTGCTAAGTGAAAAGAGTGATTAGATTTAGATTATTGATGTAGCAGCTATAAATCTGGCATTGGGTAAAGCCTTGTCTTGTTATGCCTCCTGGGCTCAGTACCAGTGCACTTTGCTAAAATTTATGTTCTACCTGTCAAACAAAAAGCCTTCAGGAAGAGTATAGGCATCCCCCTAGCTTCCTCCCGTTGCTACCAGTCTCTTACTGTAAGTGGTAGAAATGTACTAATGTAAAATAATGGATGATGGTCCAGTCAACCTGTTCTGTCTGGCTTTGAATGAATTGAATTGAAATGAATAAAGTTATTGTTCAAAATGAGGTGCATTCAGGGTATCTCATCCATTGTTTCTATGAGGGTAACAGCATACTGAATGATACGAATAAATATTATAAAAGTTATGAATAAATAAATAAACTCTATGTTGCCATCATAGGAAGCCTTTTACTATTTCATTTACTATCAAGGAGGTTATGTTCTTAGTTTTTGTTTGCGATTGTTTGCTCTGTAAGGCTGTACTTAGGCACAGCTGTGCTCTGAGCTAAATACTAACATGTGCACAGTGACAGTGCTTACATGCTGATGTGTAAGGTTTACCATGTTAATTTAGCATAATCTTTTCCAATTATCACTAAACACAAAGTACAGCTGAGGTTGATGGGAATGTCATTTTGCTGGTATTTGGTCATAAACCAAAGTATTGGACACATTAAAATGTAGACCTGATGACGATGCTGGAGGAAAGGTTAGGGATCAACAAAGCTGATTACGATTCAGGGGAACGTGAATGTCTGAAGAAATCCAATAGTTGTCAAGATATTCAACTCAAAACCACAAATGTGACATTAAAGGAAAAATCAGGGAATCACCAAAGTCCTTAAGATTCTATGAACGTCAGTGCAACATTTCATTGTGATCCATCCTATAGCTGTTGAGATATATTTCAGTCAGGACCAAAGGGATGAATTGACAAACGATGGTAGTGCAATTCCTTGATTCATAGGCCAAGATTATATACCCAAACAGATTTTGTGCCATTAAAAAATATATATTCTTCTTTTGTTTTTGAAACTGGTTTGGTTGCCAAATTCTTATCAGTGTGGGAAATTTAGATGACGGACACACATTATATGTATTGTACTGTATTTTTGCACAGTGTATTCTTGTACAAAGCCCTGAAATTGACAGGATTTAGGTTCTCCAAAAATCTTGGCTGCCCTTATTGTCTGTCACTGTGTGTATTTTAATGCAGATTCAGGTTAAAAATGTCTAACATTGATCAGAATAATAAATGTAGAGGGCTGTGTAGCTTCAGCAGAGGATGTACTCTGAGTGCTTTGTAGTTAACAAATAATATGCAATACACAGAACCACCTGGGAAGAAAACTGTTTGGAAAAGGGCAGGTACTTTCAAAAAATACTCGGCAGGTGAATGGATGTGACATTTGTCTATCACAGTCCATCACAGAAGATATGCACCCAATCAGATCAATGAGCGATATAGCGTAGACAAACTAACTGAAGCCTGAAGTTTTCCAATGAGAAAAGCCTTCAGTTCCATTCTTGGCTCTTCTGAAGAAATACTCTCCAGTTCTGATATAACTGATGCTAGCACCATCTATGCTAACCTGTGCCCAGCCCATAGTACTTCCCCAAAGAAGGGTGATTGGTCCGATACCTCTTTCGATTGCATACTACATTGAATCCTGACAAGACAGATTCTTGCATGATCAGACAGATTCTTGCATGATCTCATGAGTCCAGCTGCCTCGCAAGGTTAGCACTTCTTTGGTTATTTTAAAAATCTATCCACTCTTGTTATTCAGTTAGCCTAAGCTGAATTCTTAATATTTCTGACATACATTTTTTACTACAGTCAATGCAGAGAGACACTTTATATCCAGCAAAAAGAGACCAACATTTGAAATTATAGTCTAAAAATTGTCTGTTTATATTTACTCTCTGAAAGAACATTTCAAATGTTGTAATGTTCCATGATTTATGTTCTTGTGTGAAATGTGTAATTTTCTGATCATAATAATCTGTAGTTCTTGAGTGTACATAATCCCTGTCTGCCTGAAGGACGTCTCGATGGCAAACAACCATGTTTGTTAAAGATGATCAGTAAAATTAAACACTGTCTGTCTGGATCCACTCTAATCCCCCTTGTCTCTACCTCCGTCTGTCACCTTCATTCTCACTCGCTGTTTATTGTCTGGGTTTTTCTTTTTATCCGTCTTTACCTTTGTACTTAACTCTCAATGAACATCATAACCTCTGGTCCGTTTATTCCCCTTTCTGGCTTTTTCTCTAGAGGTCTATTTGCCTTTTTGGGGCCCCAGTATGGTTTTTATCTTATCCACTCTCTCCCTGCAGTGCTGATGAGAGGTTTGATGCTACGTTCCATACCAATGTGCTAGTAAATGCTTCAGGATCCTGCCAGTACATCCCACCAGGTGAGACTAATAACTAAAGTTTCAAATTCAATTCTTCTTATTACTGTATTACCATTATTTATGGTTGTTCTTACAGTATCGTCACCATCATTCGCATCTTTTCACATCAGGACTGTTGAGATCATCATCATCATCTTTACAGACATCATTAACTCGATCATTGTCTTTATCCTCCTCACTATCTAACTCACTGACTGAAACACCGCCATGGTTTTGACTTGCAGGTGTAAGGACATCTAGGTGTCAAAGTTAAAACCAGGCAAATTTGTGAGGTTTTCAGACACCAAGGTTTCATATAACCATCTTTTCAACACTGTTTCAACTACATTTCAATGGTTTGTTAACTTTATAACCAAGTTTAGTACTCGATGCTTCGACCCAGAAAATATGCTGATAACTCAGGTTACTTTTTGTAATGGAAATTCTGTTCATTTAAGTTAGTTGTATCAACCTTTAAACAATGATTTTTAGTTACAGAAAACTAAAATATTAATAATACATTTTGGTGTATAATTTTAAAATTGAAATCCAGTAGTGACTTTTGATTTTAAACAAATCAAGCAATGTAACTATTACACACATAGCAATGAGAGTATGTGCATAGTGCCAGAAGTAACCCCCCAACACTCTCCCCCAGGCATCTTGAAGAGTACTTGCTACATCGATGTACGGTGGTTCCCATTCGATGTGCAGAAGTGTGACCTGAAGTTTGGCTCCTGGACCCACAACGGCTGGCTGCTGGACCTCCAGATGATGGACGTAGACATCTCTACCTACATACCCAACGGGGAATGGGACCTTGTAGGTAAGAAGAAACATGCAGTAAGATGCAAGTATAACACTACTAAAAAAAAAAAAAAAAGATATCAGAGACATGACCCTCCGACAGTTTATATCAGGTTATAAGGAAACATATTTACTTACATTGCTTTGTGTAAGTTGTATGCTGAACGTGACAGAGTTGTTAAAACAAATGCATCATTACCTGCTAAGTGAAAAGAACTTTGAGTTTATTGCAGTTAATAAGAATGCAGTGTTGTCAGTCTCAAAATATTTTGGTGATCATTTGGTAGGGATGAATCTGAAACAGAATCTGGATCAACTTAATCACCAAGTACAAAAATAAATGAAGAATTTACTTGGTGGCATAAGAGGGATAAAGATGAGGTGTGAGAGCTGATGCGATGATTACTGAAAGCACTCCAGATATTTGAGGGATATGTTTGAGCAGAAAATTGGAAATCCCTTTAGGGAATCTGAGACTCTGACAGACTGAGACAGACTGAGACAGACAGAGACATTCAACATTAACTTGGCCCTTAATGTCATATTCGGGGATGTTAGACAGCCAGTCAGTATTACACAGCTCTGACAGCAGGTGTTTCAATGATGTCGACTTTCTTGTAAGATGCCGTTGTCACTGACATTCTCTTGTCTATCAGTCCTGGTTAAAGAGTGCTACAGATAGCCTGGGGAATATTGCTGCTGTCATGGTTCCCACACATCCTGGAAAACTTGAAAATTTAGAGACTAGTTTTTTGGAAACACTTGGAAATGAATTGATATGGCACATATCCTGGAAATTATGTGTTACCAGAGCCGAGGGGGAACTGATGTGGATGAGTCTTTTCAGCATGAATGGGGAAAATGGCCAGAAAATCTGGCATAATTTGGAAACCTTGAAAGGTATCAGTGAGACATTGAACACTGTGGATGTGGATGATAAAAAAAACATGCCAGAAGAATAAGAAAATAAATTTGGGGCTTAGAAGAACATAGCTTTTATAGCTTTTTACAGATTCCTTTTTTCCCCTCCCCTGTGTTCCACCTGTCTCCAATGGCTGTAAAGTCCTCGTCCTGAAGCAATTTCAGTGTAAGTGATGGGTGACAAAATCCACAGTAGTTAATATGAGGCTTTAGCAGTCGGAGTGAGACAAATCAAGTGGGTATCTTCTAAAATTACAGACCTTTTAGCATTGAATTCCCCATTTGTGACAGTTTCCTTACTGAGTCACAGCAGACAGTAACACAAAGGGGGAATTTAATACTAAAAAGTTTGCAACTTAATACCCACTTGAGTTGTCTACTGCAGACTGCTTAAGCCTCACAATATTTTCTCCATGTGGAAATGAAGTCACATCATCTCTAACCCAAATTTGGGTGTTAATCAGAGGCCAACAGAATAACTCACATTCATACACAAAAACATTCTTACACACAAAGTGAGCTGTGAGTGTACCCAGCTGGCTGGGGGAATGGAGGAAGGGGTCATGGGGGTGTGTGGTGACAGCTGGCCCAGGGATGGTTCACTTAATTCAGGCACAGCCAGGCGGCAAGCTGGCCAAGAACACACACTGTCCTGGTGCCTCAGAACAAACCCATGCCAGCATACACACACACACACACACACACACACACGCATGCACGCACGCACGCACGCACACACACACACACACACACACACACACACACACACACACACACACACACACACACACACACACACACACACACACACACACACACACACAGAGGATGTGGTGGATGCATCTGCAGGTCTGCAATCCATCAAATTAATAGATGGCTAACAAAGGCTATTTCTCTTCAGCATTCTGGTGACAAAGTTAAAATGAATGAAAATTGAATTTGTGCAATTTAAATTGAATTTCTATAGGAATGAACAGTTTCCACACACACATACACACAAGGCTAAAATCACGTTTTTTGTGACATCTCACCACAAAATGAGTTGCACAGTTTGAATATGTTACTAATATTGTTTCACTAGGGCTTCAGTCAGAATCACAACACTTAAAGGTATGAATGGTTGATACAGCTGCACAGTGATGCTTGAGTCATAATCAAATTCGGGGCACTTGAAGGTGATTTTTACTGATTGTTGACTGTGAGCCACAAGTGACTCTCACACAAAAACACACAAAGTTTGCAGATTGCTGATTTTTAACAGAGGAACACACCTTGTCCTGTGAATCTATCAAAGTCACACTTACTAATCGTCTCACTACGTACTAGCTCTCATGCTCACAACCACACAAAGGTTTTTTGTCCTTATTTGACTGTGACCAGCCCAAAGTCACATTGTTTTCTGTTGCTGATCGGATGTACAAGGCAGATTAGTTGCATAAATGAGAGTATGCCAACAAGACAAATAAGCGATGAACATTTGGGATTCATTTGTGATATAGTTTTTTTATGGTTTTGGGTATTTTGAAGTTGACAACAATCTGAAGGTTGCAAAGTTCAGATCTGAATGTAAGCCTGTACTATATGCGTTTTTGGATCTTTGCTGTTGCTATTGCCCGAATTAATTAATTAATTGCTACAACTTTTGCTTTCCTCTAATTAAAATTAATGCACAACTCTCTCTGCATTTTCTGCCTTTTTCTCACCTCGGGCAGCTATCCAAGGCAGCATCTCTTGAATTACCTCTCCTAAGTTCCCATCCATTTTTCCCTCACGTCATAAGTTTTATGTTCATTGTCCTAGAGAACTTGTTTTTAGTACAAGACTGAAAATGAAAAAAAGTCTTGGGCTAGCAGCTTGCAGCAACACCAGCTGCTACTACTATACCACACCTGAATCTCCTAGCAAACCTATTGTAGTTTTGCATTTTGGGTAATAAAGGCGTCAGGCTCAGGCTGCATCGATTTTGATACTATTTTTAAAATGATGTGAATCTGACAGTGATATAGAATGCTGCAGGTATTTTTGCCCAACCCAGAAGTTAGCATCACCCTGGTAAAAAGCAGATTTTCCCTTTGGATTATTGCAGAAAATAAGCTCTGTGCTATAAATGAGCTACTCAACAGTTGCATTACTTCAGCGTCAGTTGAGAAAGTTGAAAAGTTTGGGTTAAAATAATTTGCAAGAATGCAAGTATAAACACAACAAGGCTGTAAAGATGGACTAGTGAGCGGATAAGTCTCCGTGTAAACCATGTACGTTTAATTTCACAGACAACCTCAAAATTCACAGGTGGGGTATTTACTGACATATTATATATCTTGGAGAATAAAACATGAAAGTTTGAAAAAAATAATTATTTCAGGCATCTTACCAAAAACACATTCAAAAGCCCCACTGACTACGAGAGGAGGGAACCGGAAGTACAATAATGCTAACTTATTTCTGGGTTTTAGGACTCATTCTTGCAGCACTCTATAGGTGTGCAATGCTGAATCACTGGAGTACTCTTTTGAAACAATACTCACATCCCCATATGTACACTGAAGGAGTAATTGGTTGCTGTATTTGTCAGTTGGAACAAATTTTGTCTAGCTGTAAAGTTCTCATCCTAAAGCAATTTCAATGTAAGTGATGGGTGACAAAATCTACAGTCTGTGGAAAAATACATTCTAAAGTTAATATGAGGCTTTAGCAGTCTGAGTGAGACATATAAAGTGGGTATCTTCTAAAATTACAGACCTTTTAGTATTAAATTCCCCCTTTGTGACCAAGACAGTTCCCTTACTGAGTCATAGCAGACAGTAACACAAAGGGGGAATTTAATACTAAAAGGTTTGCAGCTTAATACCCACTTGATTTGTCAACTGCAGCCTGCTGAAGCCTTATATTATGTGAACTTTAGAATGTACTTTTACACAGAACCCCGGCTGTGGATTTTGTCCTCCATCACTTAATTCGTAATTATTTATGACTCAACCCTTGCCCTTTAACCTCTTTCTGTCTGTTTAAGTACAAAACAAACACAATAAGCTATGCTTTAGGGTGATTTTAGATCAGCTAAAATGTGTTGTTATGCACAACAGTTTTGAGCAGATTATTGTTTTATATAAAAGATTACATCAAAACATCATTGTATTGTGTACAGTATTAATTTAGGCAAGAGTGCATTTGCTGTTTTTCAGCGACAAGCTGCTTCCCACATGGTTTCCAAGACAATACGTTAATGGCAAAATCCTAATCTTCCTAAAATCACAACATCTCCTTTATCTGGGTTTGGTTAGTCTGGAAATGTACCTTTAGATACAATAAATGTGGATTTAGTGGCATATTTGAAGGATTTTGGAAAGACTGATATTAAATCCATAACCTACTGCCCTGTATATGTTGAAATAACATGTCTGCTTGTAGTAAGCTGCATTAGTACCTTCTTGAAAGGTACATTGACAATGTGAAAGAGGAGCATTTATCATATCATTTTTTCACTGAATCACATTTTTTCCTTTCTGTCTTAAACTGGTTTCAAACTGACCTTCTTACCACAAATCTCCTCTTTCAATCATATTTAAATGGTACCAGTAACAATTGTATTAACTTTAAAATGGCATTCATATTGAAAGCGGTAGCCACATCTGCACACTAACGGCTTATTTTACAAGATCTCGTAATTATTTTTCAGGCAAGCACTGAGAACTGGCCCTTCGTTTTATAGTTCTTTGACCTCTAATTGACACCTTCCCCACTCTTGATTTCTCCCCCAGGTGTGCCGGCCAAGCGTAATGAGCTGTACTATGACTGCTGTAAGGAGCCCTACCCCGATGTGACGTTCACGGTCACCATGCGCCGCAGGACACTTTACTACGGCCTCAACCTGCTCATCCCCTGCGTGCTCATCTCTGGTCTGGCCCTGCTGGTCTTCCTACTCCCTGCTGACTCTGGAGAGAAGATCTCACTGGGTACAGGGCAGGACACACACACACACCCACACACACACCCACACAGTAAAACAGGGACAATGATTCATGATTATAATCATACATACAGACAAAAATGTCTGTCTCTCCCCCGCCTTGGTGATCTCAGCCCACCAGGTCCTGACGCTATTGCTAACCCATTTATTTGTCATTGCTTTATGCTAATGCTGACATTATAGCTGTGAATTAGCATTTTTGTCAGATTTTATTCATTAGCAGATGAATAAAAGCTCCATAATGAACACAGAAAAGATAATCACCTGGACCTGAAAATGCCAGCTTGTTTCACAATGCCATTCAGCGAGACAGGGTCAGAGTAAATACAACTGCAATCCCTTGAGGGTAGAAAAGAGAGTGAATATTCCAAAATAAATCCACAGCTGTTTTAAAGCGACCACCTGCATTTATTGTGAGTACTCTCAAACCACCATTTAAGAGAAAAGTACTGTGGTGAAAGAATGTATACACTTTTTTGCTCATCTCTCTGTCTACTGTCTCTTTCTCCAGGAATCACAGTGCTGCTGTCACTAACAGTATTCATGTTACTGGTAGCAGAGATCATGCCCGCCACTTCAGACTCTGTTCCTCTGATCGGTAAGACACATTAACGCTCCAATTATTGCTCATTTTGATGATTTTCTGAGTTTGAAAGTGATGAAAAAGAAAGAAAAATCAATGAATGATCACAAAATGATTAGCTATTTGTGATAGACTTGTAACATTTACATAACTTAAACTAAAGAGTAGTTTGACATTATTTGGGAAATAAACGCTTTCTGGCCCAGAGTTAGATGAGAACGTGTCTGTTCGGTGAATATAAAGCTACAATTACTCCCATTAAAAATGACTCAAGGAAAGTGGAAATTACCATTTCTGAAACCCACTAAGGTAAAATTAAAAAAGTAGCTGGTTAATAAATGACTTAAAGTAAAATTTGCTTTCCATTTGGATATTTTTTAGGGTGTGATTGCTACTGCAATGAGAGCAACTTTAACGTTGAAGATGTCATTACGTCACCAATTTAAAAGTCCAACAGACCACTATCTACAAGATAAGTTGTTGTCATTATCTTCAACTTTTAAAAGTGGAGGTCTCAGTGTTTTTCATCAGGCACAGCACTCAACTGTTGTCTTTTTAGATTTTGGTATAAAAGGTGGTCAGATGTGGCCAGAGATTGTCACAGCTGCCTCTTCTTCTGGGTTTTGCTCAATCCTCATTGCATCCTGGTCAAAAGACAGGTGGTGCATATTTTTCTTTCAGGCAAATACCTTGGCAAACCTTGGCATCTGCAGTACAGGTGATGCCAGCTCTCATGTGCGTTACTTGTAATCCGTTACTAACAGCTGAGTTGGATCTTTCCAAAAGTAGAAAGATAAATCTAACTCAAATTGACAGTTTTATATGGATTAAACAAACCAGATTTAAATGTGGAGTAAGCGATTGTAGATAATGCGATTCTAATACACTTTTTTTTCAAATTCTGCGAATACCTACTCATGGTCCGCTTGCTTTCCCTGGATCTATAATGGGAAAAATACAAAGTGGATCAGACTGAGCCACACAACACAATTTTGTAATACATATATATGCATGTTGTAATTTGTGCCATTCCAGTCCAGGATTTGTGTGTCAGGTCATCTTAAATGACTTGTGGAGGACATTCAGCTTCCTGAAGCTGACTGTCAGCTTACTCAATGTTGTTGTGATGTTTGCTAAAGTAGCAGGACAGTTGTGAGCATCGCTGTCTAAAGCTGGTTTGCTGGTTTGCTGGCTCTGGGAAAGCGCCTCGTCCTCTGCATTTTAGCTGACATAGCTAACATTATTTATATTACTTGCTATGTCATTGTTAATGGACCATTTTGACTGTACATAGTTTTGTTTGGACCGCTGCTGCATGGAGTCAGCAGGTTTTATGACCTATACTGCAGTCAACCATCAGAGGGCGATGGTGATGTTTCTGCTTCACTTTTCACTTTTTGTAACGTCGTCCATCTTTATATATGTCTATAATGTACACAAATTAACAGACACACCAACAGTGTGTGTGGGAGCGTGTCTGTTTGTGTGACTGATTCCAGAACTGTCTACTTTTTCCTCTCTTCTCCGTACGCTTAGAAAGCATAAAGCTCTGGGATCATTTTTCTTGCAAGTTGACACATTTACTTTGTATACAACTGAAAATGTTTCCCGAGTTTTGTTGAAACACAACTTGGGAGTGGTAACTATCGTTTCGTCCAACTTTTGGCTAGAATAGTAAATAAACATATTTCCCAAAATGTCGAACTGTTCCTTTAAGACAGTACATTCAAGTAGTTTGGTAAATTGCAATGAAATAAAGCAGAATATGGGGAAGTGTTCCACATTAAAACTCACGATATTAAAAGATGATGGTGGAGCGCATGTTGGACAGGCTACAGCATGTGCTCCAGCGTGGTGGTGGGTCAGTGTGGAGATTTTTCCTCATTAACTATATCTTATGTTAGATAGATAGATAGATAGATAGATAGATAGATAGATAGATAGATAGATAGATAGATAGATAGATAGATAGATAGATAGATAGATAGAATTAAATACAATAAAATACAATAAAATACAACAATAGAATAAAATACTGAGGTAGAAAATATAAAAAAGATAAATAATAATAATATACAATAATATAGGTTGTGGCCAAACTAAAGACTTTCTCATGAGATATTTACCCCTCATATTCACACTGCAGTATACCGTATGTGGCGACACAGACTGAGCTGAGAGGGGAGGGGCTGGGCATGGGAGGTTGCTGATGCAGGACGTGAAGAATACTCTCGGTGTGGGAGACGAACAAAGTTGCATTGTATAAGGTCACACTGATACAGACCAGAAGAGACAAGGCAGCCGGCCATGAGACGGGAGGGAGGGGAGGCTGCAGACAGGGATGCTCGGTTTCATTTGGCAGCTCAGTGATGTAAAACGAAGCCATTAGCAAACCCGCCTTTATTGGAGTACACATATTAACACACTGCAGATGGAGCAGAACTGATAGATTGAAGACAAAATAAAATGCTCCTCAGCGTTCGCTCTGACAGGTTTTCATACAGCTCCAATTACACTTTGACATGTTTACAGAAAATGTGATTGGTCTGCCTCTCTGTGAGGTTACTGGCATCACAACTGGATCAAAATGAAAAATGGCATCTTATTTAGAGGGGAACACATCGTTTATGTGTATTAGTGTGTGTAGACAAGGTAAGCAAGCTTACATATGGTATGTATTTTCATTTCTCTGTAGCTTTTAAATTAATTTATTTTTTAATTAAATGCCTGCAAGCGTGTGTCTTTTTTGGTTGGTCTGTACACTATGAATTTAAATGTTCGTCATCCTCCTACCAGCCCCTGTGGTGTTATGACCTTAGGGTTGTTGATGGGGAAAAACTCCCACTGACTAACCAACCAAATAACTGACTTGCCAAACGTCCTGCCAAATGTTTACCCTATCATGCTTCTTCTTCACGTTTTCTCTTATACTGTATGTAGATATATAGGCTTTTAAAAAGGAAAATAATTCAGATAACAGGCTATGATTTCTCCTTGCATTCATTTTTCTCCATCCCAGATGGAAACTGCTATGCTATGCTCATGTGTTCTTCTCCTCTTCAGCTCAGTACTTTGCTAGCACCATGATGATTGTGGGCTTGTCTGTGGTAGTAACAGTCCTGGTACTGCAGTTCCACCACCATGACCCCCATGGAGGGAAGATGCCTAAATGGGTAGGTTAACAATCATTTTTAAACCAAATAAATAATTATAACTGCAAACTTAAAATTGAGAATAGCCAATTCTGATTTGTGCTAGGCAGTGCATTATTTTCAAACAACCACACAACTTATATATATTGGCACGGTCAACTACTCATCTAGGCTGTTACTAGGTGACGGCTCCAATTTGTTGGAATATTAAAGTTACATTTATTCACAGGTTGTGTCAACACAAAGGCTTGACTAAAAAAAGCATTTTTAGCTAACTTTAACTGTTTGTAAGCCATCATCATAGGCCATCATAAGCAGCATTCTCCACTACCATTCTGTGATAACCGTGTAGGTATATACTGTATGTTTTTTATTCCTTTATTTTTAAGGTTTTATTTTAAAGTTGACCCCCAAAATATGGATCAAAAACACAAAGGCGCTCTATCACTTCTTCACTTCACTATCCATTTTGAACCATACAGTTATTAGGAAATATTACAAGACATGGAAAGACACCATGGAAAAATCCACACCTTCAATTCGCACATTATTTTTCTATAATGGCACACTGCCATAAGACTATTAGATTTCTCTCTGTATTTATATCTTCTGTTTGTTTTCTATTTTTCCTTTAAACATTCATATCAATTCAATTCAATTAACATCTTAATTGTCTTGAGTTCCTCTTCTCACCTGTCTTCCATCTCTCCGCCTTATCTCATCTCTTCATCCAGGTCCGAGTCATCCTACTCAACTGGTGCGCTTGGTTTCTCCGCATGAAGAAACCTGGAGAGGAAAACAAAACAGCTGTGAGCTCCAGCAGCCCCCCAAACTACAAGTACTCCCCCCCTCCCCCCCACCACACCAGCACCAGTAGCATTCAGATGAGCACCATACCAGGGCAGGCGTCCACCCAATCAACCACAACCAACGGGAACATGAACCTTTACTTCGGCTACCACTCAATGGGCACGGACAACCCTGCTTTCCCACCGAGCACAGATTCAGGCGTGGTGGTGTGCGGCAGCGGAGGCGGGGGCGGCCGACCCAACAGCTCCTCTCCACATGACATCCACTCAGAACAGACGCGGACTTTGCTACTGGAGCAGGTCCCGGAAATTTCCCGGATCCTGGAGGAAGTGCAGTATATTGCCAGGCGCTTCCGGGAGCAGGACGAGGGAGAGGCGATCTGCAGCGAGTGGAAGTTTGCAGCAGCGGTGGTGGATCGGTTATGCCTGGTGGCCTTCTCACTCTTCTCCATCATCTGCACCTTCACCATCCTCATGTCAGCTCCCAATTTCATTGAGGCCGTGTCCAAAGACTTCACATAAGGCTGACCTCTTCCCTCTCGGAGAGGAAAAAAGAGAGGCAAAGCAAACATTAGAAATCCTGACACGTTTAGAACTGTGCCACACAAGCCTCCCTGCTACAACTATGTGAAGTCAAACACATCAGACCCAAACCTTTCCCTCTATCTTCCCATATTTCTCGCTAGTATATGGTTGTATGGAGTTGATGTGATTTTTTTCCATTTCAAGGTGGCTCTCTTAGCTAACACCGAACATACAGTATGCCACGTAGGAGGTTGAGGCTACATGCAGTAGTTAATGATGTAGAAACTCACACTAATGCACTTTTCATCCGTACCCCTGCTGACATCATTTACCTGCCACCACTTGGTCTTCACGTCTCATCAGAATATACTCTTAACTCTCCTTCACTTCCAGCTCTTTCATTTCTGCTGCTTTTTTCTACTCACTCCCCACCCCCACTGTCACACTTCTCATTTTCTAGGAACGTCTTAATGTCTTCAGCAGTTACATACAGTACAGTCAATAGAGTTCAATAAACAGTTTTAGAAATGGTTTTTTCAAGCCTCTATTCTAGTGATGCTAATTTTTTGTATTTTGTAAATAAATCTACATCTTACTTTATAAATGTGGTGAAGTTGAGATGAAATATTTTTTAAGTTGGTGAATTTACTGAGAGCTACTGACGTGTTAACTCACAGCACTGTACATCTCACTTCTGCTTTAACTAGGACTGCCACTAATGATTATTTTAACTTTCGATTCATCTGATATTTTTTCATTTTATTTGATTAGTCGTTTTTGTATATAAAATGTCAGAAAATAGTGAAAATGTCTGTTTTAATATCCCAGAGCTGAATGTGAAGAATATTCAGTTTGCTATCATATATGACAAAGAAAGCATCACTTCTGCACAGAACAAACGTTAGGCATTTTTATCTTGAAAAACAACTCAAATGGTTAATTAATAATCAATCGATTTTTCAATTATCGACTACTTATTTCAGCTCTACTTTAAACATCTCCATCCTATAACTCTCTTATATTAGGTTGTTTCTTAAGGCATCCTCATTATTTACTTGCCTTTCCAATCTCCTCATTTCCTTCTTGCACAGCTTAGGCCCAGGTTCTGTACCCATAAATGTGAATACCAGTGAAAGTCATACTTAATTGTGACTTCAAAGACATTTTTACAGTTTAGCTCTTTTCAAGACAGTTTATGAAAGTGTGAAGTCATTTCAGAAGGGATATTCCAACATCCTCTCTTTGCCTCCATTACTTGTGTTAAACAGTATATTTAGTGTGGTTTGCATACAAAAACCTCTGGCTATGTGTAAATCACTTATTCATTTACAATGCATTTATCTTTTGAGAGCAATTCAATGTTTATCTGACTTACAGTATGTGTTAGTTACACAATGTGTTGCTATATTCGGGGAGAAACTCACATGAAGATCAAAACAAATAGTCGTTGAAAGACGATATTTGTTCTTGTGATGGATTTTCAAATGGATTCTGAAGTCTGAACCACCCGGATGCATTTGGCACTAATCTTTTGTAGTGCAGAGTCCTTTTTGTTTTTACTTTGTAATACTCAGCGAAAGGCAAACACTGTCTTCTCTAATCTGCAGCAACAACATGCAACAAGGATTACTGGGTGACCTTATGTAACAGATTTGCGTTAAACCTTGTCTCTTCTCACCACCCCAGTATCCCCTCTGATTCTCAGTGGTAGAAGGCACATGTAAATTCCCACTTTTACACATGCAACTGAGCTCACAGACCTTTCTATTTTAGTTTTAAGTGGAACCGAGGAGGAATGAAAATAACAAAATACAGTGCATGTGTGACTGCTGCCGAATAGTCACTGAAATTGAATTCATGTTGTTACAGTTAATCAATGGGCCGAGTGCAGACAAATAGCTGCCACCCACTGACTATCTTCAATTCACTCTGTGACTCCAGGACTGTAAAACATTTAAATGTCATATCCACTCATAATGGACCGACAGGAAAAGGTGAGGCCAATCTTGTCTGAACTTTGCAATACTCTTTGTGTGGACATCAGTATTCTCTACACTTATGTCTAACCAGGAAAGTGAGATTTATTTGCTTTAAACACAACAAATATGGTCTTAAAAAAAAGAGCATTGCATTAGGGACATAATTGTTAGAATGTTAAAGGAATAGTACAACATTTTGGATTTTTGCTTTTACAGTAAATATAACGCTACAGCCAGTTAGGTTAGCTTAGCATAAAGAGTGGAACCTAGAGGGAAACACTGACCTTTAGGACAGTACAGCCAGTTGCGTGTTAGCATAGCTTAGCACAAGGACTACAAACAGAGGGAAACAAGCGTTAGATGAGAAGATTGATACCACCTCTTATGTGTGAAAGGTAAATATGAAGCTACACCCAGAAGCCATGCTGAGCTCAGCAGAACGTCAACCAGCAGAGACTCCAGGAAGCCAGAATAATTAGAGTAGAGTAATTAGAGGTACTGGAAGTCAAATCTGACTTTTGACTACATATTTTACTACAGCCATTTGTCATTCCACATTGTGTGGATTGCAGATTGTAAGGGTTACTGCAGGAAACTGAATACAATTGTTTTTATTGTTTTTTATTTTAAGGAACCAATGCTGGGTTGTTATTTTGCATGTCAAAGTTCATGGACAGAAATGGGTAGCGGCTGCTTTTAGCTGATCTAAGTATGTTGCGTAACAGATCGAGGAATCATTTGAAAATCTTGATCACTGACTGATCTTGGACAATATGAACAGTGGAGATGTAATGACTCATATGAGAGACGTGGAGTATGCTCTACATACATGTGACTTGGACTGACAACTGATGACAGCCAATTATGTAGATACTTTGTGAGATAACCTGACCCATTTCTATTGTTACTCACTCCTGTTAATGTCTATTGAGCATATGTTTTTCATGTGAGAAGCATTTATGGGACTTAAAAGTGTTCATAGTGCGTCAAATGAATGAATGATGGAACCTCTAAAATGAGACTGTACTGAAAATGTTTATAGGATTATAAGGTATTCAGGGTAAAAGACATTCTGCAATTTACAAGTCAAAGCTAGATCCAAGCTGAAACCATACAAGTAGCTCAAATATCAGTGTTGCAAATGTGAAATCGTGTTGACTGATATTGAAAAGTACACGTAAAATGAGGGTGTCTGCTTTTGCCATGCTATCACAGGCTTTTTTTAATCACCAGTGTTGTATTTCTGTCAACTTGAGTGTCTTTTTCTTTGTGGTCTGTGCCTCTCTGCTCAGTATTCATTCTCCTTTGAAGGATGTACATACATGCTCACTGTACATGACTATTTTGAGGACAATAAAGGAGAAATGTGATAATTACTGGCATTTGAGTGGCTGACATGCTACAATTCACTATCATACACTTCAAAATGCTTTCACCCAGTACTGCTGTCAGAGCAGCCTTTTTCCTTTGTTTAAGTGACTGGGTTATAACAGGGTTGCTGTCGTCAATCTAACTGGACTGACAGTGTAATGGCAGCTTGTTGCCTGATGCGCCTGATTAATCACAGCGTGTGATGCCATATTATTGTTCACATACAATGTAGTTCTATGAAATGTGACAATTCAGAGCTTAAAAAAAATCAAACCGACAGAAAAGAGGAAAGCTTAATAGTTTTAAACTAGTTTGACTGTTTGGAAATATACTTATTTGCTTTCTTGCCAACAGTTACAGTACATGAGAAGATTGTACCACTCTAAGATATGTGCAGTAAAAACATGGCTGGAGCCAGTCCTGGAAACAGGTGGAAACTGCTAGCCTGGCTTACCAGCACCCCTAAAGCAAGACTCCAGGAGGTCATGGTACACAGATTTGGTTACCTTAGACAACGCCAGGTTGAAGGTTCCTCATGTTTCAGCTGCTGGCTGTAGCTTCATGTTTAACCTACTACAGTGCATTAATTAACTCGTATCATACAAAAGCAGAGTAAAAAGGACAAATTGTGTTAATTTGTGTCTTCCCCTGTTTGTGCTAAGATAACAGTCTCGTGGTTCTGGCTTCATATTAAATGGACAGACGCAACAGTAGTAGGCCTATCGATCTTTTCATCTAACTCTCTGCAAGAAAGTAAATAAAAACATTTCCCAAACTGTCTAAATCTCCAGCAAATCATTTTTATGTTTTAGTGTTTTGTGTGTGGACTAGTTCATTACAAAATGACACAGTGTGATGGCGATGTCGACAGCTGAGCGCAGCATCTGTTGATTTATGAAACCAGGCTGCTCTTTTTTTCCCCTTCCTTTTTATTTTTGATTGACAAACAAAAACTGACATTTTTCAGCATTGCTCCACACTAATGGAAGAAGAAACTATTAATTTCATTCTAGTTGAATATTAACATTTCATATACACTCCAAACATCCAGGGGGTCTCTGTCTTGGGAACAGTATTTCTAAATGGGGTGTGTGTGTGTGTGTGTGTGTGTTCCATCATTAATTTGCTTTTCAGGTATAGTTATATGTGCATGTGGCCAAAGTTTCAGACTACCGCACAGTTAGTCAAAGTTTTTAAGTCAATCTACGTGCCGAGCGGATGGGTTAACCTGAGCTCAGATAGGTGAACATGTAAGAGTGAGTCTTCAGCCAGCAAGGCTCAGCAACCTTTCTCATTTCCCAGCAGGAATGAATGACAGAGATAGACCATGTCAGGAGGGATCCAATCTCCTTACTGCCTGCGATATTAGTTAGGACGTTTGGCAGCTCATATATATATACACACACACACACACACACACACACACACACACACACACACACACACACACACACACACACACACACACACACACACACACACACACACACACACACACACACACACCAAATGCTGCTCAGCAGAGTGATGACATGTTCAAATTGGTCAAATCTAATCTCAGGCTTCACTACACGCAGACAGACAGCTGTTGGTGGCTGGATTTGCCCCACACTGTATCTCACCATGCAAACACACACAAATGCACAAATCTTTCACTGGCCAACAGGGCTTGAGTTGACAGTGTCCCCAGTTCACCCTCCCCTGCAAGACCGTCCCCGTGCTGCTTCCCTCTTTCTGGTCCTGAGATAGGACAGACCAAACTGGGTTGTAGGTGGGGGTGAGTTACCCAATCCTGGTGAATAATGTTTGCTCCCTTTGGTGCCACTGTTGGTGCCAGGTCAACTGGAACAGATCTCCATTGACTTTGTTCAGTAAGTGTAATGTAAAGACCACACACCTGCCCCTCCTGTAAGATATATATGGCTATTTGTTTTGTAGAATAATTGCCTGCACACACGCACCCTTCTGGTGTTCAGGTGGGGACTGCACTAGTTTAGACCGTGCCCTGCCAGGTGTGACTTTATACCTCTGAGGTGGAAGGCTTCTTCAGGATCACACCCTCAGATACTCTCATAAATACTGGAAACAGCAATAATCCCTGGATACTTTCGTCCTGGTGACAAGGCGCAGTTCCTAAACAGGGTTTGACATTTTTGTTTTTCTGCGACTGTCTGATTAATGAAAAGTGGGTCGACTAAGACTCTTATCAGCGACTAATGACTGAGCAACTATTAGGGAGCAGCCCTACACATTCCCAAAAATACCAAACTATTCCTTTAAATCTGATAAAGCAATCTGGATAATATTTGAGTGTATGGCCACAAACCTGAAAGTCACTGCTGTGGTGGAACTTTTAATGAAATCAATTGCTGTTAACCCGTGTAACCTAGACAGTCTAATTTTATATGCAAACACTGCATAATCACACATTTTCTGTTCAGCTCAGATGATTGTTGTCTACATCATTAAACCAAATTTAAAGCACTCCAGTGAGAGCACAGCTGACCCACAGCCAATCTGTGCTTTTCATCATTGCAAACATGTCGATTAGTTGACATATATTCATGTTAACAGCTGCCCTGATTGTCCTACAGCTGTTTTCATTAATTATGTTTGCTTTATGTCTCAATCTCACACTCTATCATTTTTAATCTGTACTTTTTTCTTTTCCCCCCTTCAAAAAAACCCCAAAACATTTTCCTTTGGACCCATCTGTTTCCAACATCAACCATGTCCTCTTCCCTCTGACTTAATCCACAGGGATGAGTGTGTGTGTGTGTGTGTGAGATGATAAAACATTGTTCATCTGGTTTCAGAGTGACTGGGGCATGTAATCTTATTTACTCCTTCAAGCCTTCTCCTCCCTCTTCATTATGACTCTTATCCTAATAACAGTACAGTACATTCATAGTTATTCATAGTGCATAATCTCAGCTCAATAAAGGATTGATCTGCAGAAAGGAGGTTAATAAAAGAGGTTAGGAGGCCAGTGAATGTTGCTGTTGATACAAGAGCTGCAGAAAAGCATGCATGTGTGAAGTAATTTATGCAATTGTGGTGTACTCACTGTTTGGAAGGAACTGCACAAAATTAAAACAATTAAATGAACTGAACTGGACCACTGTTCTTCCCCAATGCAGGAGTTGTAGCGCAGAGACTTACTTTCAGGTGCATCAAGCAGTCTGTTTTCACTATCTGGGATTAAATGTGTATGAAAGTGACATTAATAAACAAATGAAAAACTCATCACCATTTACAGCTTTAGGAAAGCTTTAGCATGACATCGCTTCTGCTACACATCCGACCTTCACAAAAACAGAATACATTGGCGTAATAATCAAAGTGCATAGTGGTGTGTACATCATGTGGGACAGTGAAGGACAGAGAAAGAGATAGTGGGAGATGACAGATATTGGAAAGGTGAGAGTGAATGATGACCAGAAAGACACTAAAACTGGCTTATCTTATGTACATAGGAGGGCCACTTCAACATTCGAGTACTACACGCAACATTCTGAAAATATTTCCATTAATAGCGTCATACTTGTAATGTAAACAGCAGTTTCTATACATTATTTCGGTCTTTGGTATAAAGACAACAAATAAAGCCCCAAAACCTGCTTTCTTTTTGTTAACCCTTTGAAGGCACCTTTAATCAATATTCAGTCATTATTTTGTGCCAAACAAAATACATTTTAAAAACTGAATTGTGTTTTTTTATTGTATATAAAGGGGTAGTTTAAAGGACCAATGTATAGGATTTACTGGGCATGTAGTGGTGTAGTTGCAGATTGCGACAGCCTCTTCAAACTCTCCAAGCGAGGAGAAGCGATGGATGGTGTGAAACATGTGAAAAATGCAAACTTAACCTGCTAAATTACCAATAAACACAAAATGCAAGGTGCTGAACACTAAAGCACATGCTTAGTCTTCAGAATATAGCCACCTCAAAGTAGCTCAAGTTTTAATTATTACTAAGCGTATAAGACAGTCTTCACCGCCCATGACTCTGTCTCTGGTTCTTTTCCTTCCTTTAACCCCTTTAGACAGATACTGACCACTGCAGACCGGGAACACCCCACAAGAGTTGCAGTTCTGGAGATGCTCTGACCCAGTCGTCTAGCCATCACAATGTGGCCCTTGTCAAAGTCGCTAAAATCCTCACGGTGTTATTCACTTCAGCAGTTAGTGGTCAGAAAGTTATGGCTGATCGGTGCACATACTTTGTAAAGCTCTAATACATTTACTGCATGATGCAATACCTAATATGATCAATATGGTTTTAATTTGGTGAGCTTCGTGAGCTTTTTGTAGGCAAAAAAAAAAAAAAGATATAAAAAATAATTTGTACTGATGCTTCTGATTTAGTTATCCTCCTCTCTACTGCAACGTGAGCTACTGCAGTTTTTTTGTGCTGCTCTTCCCCAGGTTGATGTTAAATAAAATGTTTATATATGCCTGTCCTAGCTTGCCGTTAGCAGAGCAGTAAGGTGTGGAGGAGGCAGTGTGTGTATGACAGAGACAGAGATTAAGTGTGTCTGCACCCTGCCCCACTACTGCAGTGGGTGTACTTAATGTGTTCGAAGGGACATATTTTATGTGCTTGCACTGCATGCCTTAAGTGACACAAATAGGCTGCTGATGTGTGTGGGGGTTGTGGCGGAAACATTTCATCATTTGATGATCATCACTTCTTCTCCTGTCTCAACTCATCCCTCTTAGCTATCCTGTTTTTCGCTCTTTGTGAACCATTAACATCCATGTGTCTGGCCACCCATCTCCGTCCATCCATATACTGTATGAATTCTGCCGTCCATCCCTCCGTCTTTTCTCTCCCCGAGGCTATAAGTGTACTGTAATTTTCAGTAAGCATTTCATCCAATGACTGACAAAGACAGCAGGAATGGAGCTCTCCAGTATGTGAGTTTATGTAGTGTATGGTGTTTACAGCGTGGAGACGGTATGTCTCATCTTCAGAGATCTGGATGTACTGCACCGCTCTCAT